TAATTTTTATTGAGGAGCTAGTTGATTCCAGTTGTAATGTTGGTCTACTTGGTGTGTGTTCTGTAAGCAATGAGGACTGGCACTGGGGTCCATTTACAACAGGCTGACTAGATTCAGCAGTCCTCCTTTTTTGTTTGCACTTAGCTTGGGAGATGCATTTCTTTTCATTCACAGGCAGAGGTGTTGAAGTCAATGGCTTATTGCTGAAGTATTGTTTCATAAGGTCAGCATTAGTCCAACTATTCCTTTTCCCCCTTTCTTTCTTGATGACAGGCCTTGGTTTGGAATCTGTATGTTTCTCTCTCCATGCTGTTTGGTGAGAATGACTTTCTACACTGAAAGTCTGATCATCTATGAAAATTACAAAAGTACACAACAGTAACTGGTTTAGCTTTCCCCCTTATTTTACAATACACTTGAAACATAATTTTTTTAGTTATACTGAGCTACTATGTGAATTGAAATTCAGTATAATGAGCAAAACCATCACATAATAATGCATTAACTTAAGTTGGACAATTTACATGAATAAAGTTAAAGCGTGTGTTTGAGCTTGTAGTATCTGAGCCAAAGTTAGTATTTTTTATTTTAAGTTCTTATGTTGTCTACTTGCAATTCTCTCATATTTCATTAATGGTTAGGGTTAAAGAAGAGCTTGAACAACTACATTCAAATTCGAATTCAAACTTTTCAAACTTTTGATGTTATCTGCATGCATAGTATTCATTTTGCCAAGCTAATAGATGCAAGGAACACACGTGAAGTACAATTCTCTAAACTTTGGAAACAATCTGGAGCCAGGGTCATGGCTCAGACTCAAATCCAATTAAAATGTAAGAAAAATTAAAACAATGACACAATACGTAATTTCAATTTTTTTCTACAATGTCAGTATTAGTAAACGTGCTGTTAATTATCTTTAGATTATCTTCATATTTTTTTCATAACAGAACCAAAATAATGTCATAGTTAAACATTTTTAAATTTACACTATACAATTATCAAAGATGTTTGTTTAAAGATAACTAGATGGGATAAGTAATTTCATAATCTCTTGAGCTAAATTTGTATACATTTGTGAGAAGTGGCCATTTTATATTACAGCACTTCATAATTTTTTTTAACGTCTCTGTCTCTCAAAAAAAAGAGTTGCAAAATGTCACAGGTTATACAAAAATATCTGTTCCAAGAATTGTTAATGAAAATTTAACATGGGAAATAAACATACTTTTCTTTGTTGCCATGATGTTACTTGATTGACGGGATGCTGAAGAATTAACTGTGTTGATTGCTGTAGGCGAATGAGCTTCCAGGACCAAACTCTGTACCTTACTTTCAACAGGAACATCTGGTGACAGATGAATAGATGCCTCCCATTGTGAAGTTGATGACAGATCCTTTGAACTTGAATGTACAAGTAGAGATTCATTATTGCACTGGGCTGAAGAACCAGTGTCCACCTGATTTTTTTTAGCGAATGCATCCAAGGAATCAAGTGCAGAATTAAAATTCTCATGGTGCTGCATCTGTTGACGAATCCATTTGGATAATCCTAATAAAAAAAATATTGGTAGACTACAACCAAACTTACTTTATACAGTAGCTATTTCAAGATAATAAATTAGGCCCTAGTCCTGCAAACACTTATCAATTTAACTTTGCTCATGGGACTAGTCAGATAGACTTCAGGAGAATTACTCCTGTGAGTAAAGTTAAGCATGAGACTTTTTACAAGATTAAAACTGTAGCCTTCCAAAACTTTTCTACTGTTGTCCTTGATATCTATGTAGCATTCCTCTTGCTTCCCTTCCCGTGTTATTAATTTAAAGATCATGAATGATTATAAGAGGAATTTATGTATATTCTATATGTTTAATTACAGTTGTTTCATTGCTGTATTAAAATAGTTTGCAGGTTTTGCAGTTTAGAAAACATGTCTGATTTTTTTTAAAAGAATCACAATGAATACAGTACTTCAAACACATACAAGATGGTCACATGAACCAATAGTTTTTTATAATTCTTGCAAATCAGAAATCGTAAACATATGTTTGATTAATCTGAAAAATTGAAGATTGTGAACATTAATTTTGCAAAAATAAAAATACACCTTTTTAAAAATACTTTATGTTAGAAAAGGTTTTTAATTAGCTTTTCTTGTTTGAAGAAAATATTACTGGTACCAAATTCACAAACTTTTAGTGAGAATGTGTAATTACAATATTGTGCTATCTCCCTTTTGTCCTCTCTTTGGTTATCTAAGCATTTGCTTAATATAAAATGACATGTCAGAAAACTGCTTAGAAGATAGAATTTGAGCTCCACCTGCTGACTGGACACCAACATTATCTTCTTTACATTATCCATTTACTTGTGGTTGTGGGGCAATACAGCTTTGAAACAATGCTACACAATCTATTCCTAAGACATTTCTTCTTGACTAGTGTCATATAAGTCCTATTTTTGTTTTTGTTTTAGCGGAATTAATTGTACTAAACATGAAGAAACTGCATTGACCATGACAGCAAAAACAAATGTTCAAAGACACTAGTAAAGGAACGGTGGTGTCTCTACCTGTTCACTTCTACAAATCATCTTGTTAAATATCTAACTGCTAACATTAACCCCTGAAGTTCTCTATGGGTGCAAAATGACTCGTAGAAATGAATAAAAATGAAATGAAAGTGCCTTTATTTTTATGTTTACCATACAATGGATAATAGTTCTTACATATGTTGTAAATTTCATTTTGAAAAATGTTAGTTAAAGTCTGTAACTTGACTTTTCCTCAACAAATCTTACAGCCAGCATGTTCTGATGGGAATTACATTAAATAACAATGACTAATGGGTGTATTTCAGTGCATTTTGTCTGTTGCCACTCAGAAGCAGGGTTTAGACGTGTGCAGAATTGTAGCTGCATAAATCACAGAACCACTGAATTTAACAGATATATTTTGTTATAGCGTCCCCTCTTCTCCAACAGTTCTCTCTGGGAAATCACATTCTTGAAGCCTAGATTTCATAACACAAAATCCAAACATTAGGAACTTTTCCAGAAGTACTGAGTATGTTACCTGTTATGTATTTATTAGGGTTACTCCTGAAGCGGTCATCAACTAACATAAGTGCACCCCAATCCTTTTTGTGACGAATACATCTACAGGACCAATGAAAGAGAAATGTAATTCAACAAAATAGCATCTAAAACTAAAAATTTATTCTTTGTTGCATACAGTTGGAAGCACAAAAGATGCAAAATGTGCTTTCCTGAGTTCCCACAAAAAGGATAGCTATTGGAGAAGGAATGTAAAACCTATACCAGAAGATAGTTAAGCAGAGAAACTGCATTTTCACACAATTCACAGAATCACAAAAGTGACCATTTAATGACCTACAAACTAGGCGGTCACATATTATTTCACAAACTGAGTACTTGATGTCTAATAAAAATACAACAGACAAGTTATTTGTTTGGCAATCTACTGTTGTGGGAAAGAAAGGATAAGTATTAAAAACAGAGTACAGAAGAGCTTAGGGGAGAGGATATGGGAATGCAGTGAATGTGGTTGTACCAAAATTTAGAAAACGATATACTTTGTTTTAGTATATTCTGGCTAGGTTTTAATAAACTTCTATTTCTGGTTAAGGTTCTATACAAAGAAAAATTAACATTCAAGATATGATGGTATAGAATACGTTGACCTTCTTCAGTGTCTTTCAGACAAGGTTTTCAAAGCACTATAAAAAAAATAAATGAACAATACACTACACATTCCGATGAGCATTATACACATAAGCATTATAATAATTTCATTTTACAAATTAAGGAAAACTGACAAAAAGAAGTCTGATTGGCTATACAATACCACTGTGTTAGAGATGGGATTATAACCCTCAACTTCTAATTCCCAACATCATGATTAGCTCAGCAGAGACATTTTTCTTGAACATCTTTAAAGCATCCCATGGAAGAAAAAACAAATTCAAGGCAAAAGATTCCTTCTGAGCTTCTCATATTTTCGTGCTTAAAAAAGTGTTCTTTTACATTGAAATGAATTGTACCCACTGGAAACATATCTTACACTTTTATTACGCAGCATTGCAAGGAATTCACCGCACAGTTGTCACCTGGTCATGTACACCATCTGGTATATTCCCAAAGGTTGTTATTACATTTCATGGACTTATGTTACTTCAGACACTGTAACAGCACTATATATTAAGAGAAAAGTGCTAGATTCAAGACTAACATGCTTCTGCTCACTTCAATCCCTGCAGGCAATTTTACAGAAAGATGCTTGCCTAGTTGCAGCACCCACTTTCTAGGGCTGTCAGCATATACTATATTTTGATTTATAGTATATTTTTCTAAATGCACTGAAATCTACTGGCTTTCCTTTCCCAAGGCTCAACATAACACAATCTGGATCAAATTATAATATAAACCAGAATTATTCTCCCAAATACACCAATAGGGGAGTCTGTCTTTCCCTTTCAGCTCACATTAAAGTGCATGCATTTAAATTGTCAGTCCTACAATGAAGACTTTTTATTAGTGACAGATTTAAAGTGAGGTATTTCTATATTTTTAGACAGATAAAATATTCTGCATGCCAGATGACTGAACTCTCTTCCCCAAACTCACTTCCTTCAGTAAGTCTTCCATCACTGATCACCACTTTTGCACCCTCTTATAAATAAAAATGATTTTTTAATTACTCTCACTCCCCAAAAGTAAATTAAGATGTATATCTAGCATTGAGTATGTATTCATGACCTTTTACTATTCTTTACATACCTTCCTCACTCATTTTTATATATATAACCTTCACGTGCTGTACTAAGTCAAATGTAGGCTACTTCTCCACTCCACACTTCTCTGGGTGGTATATAGAGAACTTACCTGTAGAGCCCCACAGCATGAGTATAAACAGCAGTGTAGCCAGTGAACCATAGTTTAGGCAAATAGAGTAAAGATACATCTGAAAGGTGGGGATATATGCATATGACAATACTGTATAGCTCTCTGTTTACCCAAGTGGTGCCTTACCCCCACTACACTGCTGATTTTGGCAGCGTAGCGTCCTGCTGCTTCCCTGGTCCTGGAACCATTCCTCCCTGCAGGAAAAGACTCCCCCAACACAGAAAGGCTTTGCCAGCTCCCACTGCTGGAACCTTTCTCTGCTGCCCTCCCTATCTTCTCCCTGCTAGAGCCTCTCTGTGTTACCGAAGTCTTTTACTGCAGTCCGCAGTATGGATGTGGGTATGTAGAAAGCCAATTTATATCCTAGAGGTCTAGAGTGTCTCTACTCTCCAAAGCAGCGCCTCATTGTCTACACTGCTATTTATACCCATTCTAGCTGTGGATTTAATATCTGTACTCTGTGTGTCACTGCAAGGGTAGATCTCCCCTCAAAGTTGACCTCAATTTAATAGCAATAAACACTACTCTTTCAGAAAGTCTCACTGACTGCAGTCATGCCAAACACCCAGTTACCATGTAATCTTTTTAAAACAGTACTGAGGACAGCTTGGTTACATTCTCACTCCCCCATCCTTGTTCAGAGCAAACATCAGCTTGCCAAATATCTTGCCACTCGATTTGCAAGATATCAGTCCAGTTTTAACTGTGTTGGTTGTTACAAGACATTTGGTCCAGAGAGTACACAGGGCAGAAATATTTACAAGGTAGGGATTATAGTTTGCAGAATTATTTATTTTGAAACGAAAGATAGCCACTGTTTTAAGTGTCAGTCAGAAATCTTTGCACTGATATTTCCAAGGCCCTAACTGCACCATAAAATATAAAAGAGTTCCTCAATTTAAAAAGGAAAAACAGTTTCCTAATTAAAGTCTGCTTGATTTTAAAGTGTTTATGGCAACCCCTTACAGTTAGAATTTACTAATGCATATCTGAAGAGAGCAAAAATCTGAGTATCTGTATTTTTAAACAATTTCAAAGATAACGTGCAAGAAATATCTTCAGTACTCAGAGTGAAAGATTGAGCATGCAAAAAAAAGAGTTTAAAAATTAGAATATTTAAATGATATTCCATTTCCTCTTACCGGCCCAATGCCTGGTTGAGAGCCCTATAAGCTTGAATTTCATACCACTGGCTACCTGGTAAAAGGCCTCTTGTCTTTGAGTACTGGTCGTTGTATTTTCTCTTTAACTCAACCTAGAAATAAAGTTAAAATATTATTTTACAATATGTCCTTTTGCAAAATGTTATCATAAAATGAAAAATTAAACAAATTGGTTAAACAACTGGGTACAAGAGAGTGAGGGAGAAGGCTGTTAGGTAGAACACTGGGTTACAAACATCCCTTCCTTTCCAGAGAAAAATTCATCCAAATCCTCCTTAAACCACAACTGAAATCAGCTTGGTGGTCCCATCTCAGACCCCATTTGTTTACATCATACATTACAAACCAATTAAGGATAATGACCATTCTTTGCTTAAGACTAGACTAGAACTTCTTCAGGCAGTCAGAGCTGTGTATCTAGTAACAGATAATATTAGTATCACATGTATGAGAAGCCCCACTTAAGTTTAATGCTAAACTTCTAGCTCTCGTTTTACTAAAATACAATAAACTTTTCAATTATGGATTTTATCACGGATTTTTTGAATGTGCGAAGTGCAGATAATTTTTGGACATGGGTTTTTCAGTGTTTATGTATTTCAATTGTATAGTAAATGTTGTTGCTATAAATTTTTAAAAAATACAGTTTGGAATTAGGCTCTATTTTCCATTCATAAGAACATAAGAATGGCCATAATGGGTCAGACCAAAGGTCCATCTACCCCAGTATCCTGTCCTCCAACAGCGGCCAATGCCAGATGTTCCAGAGGGAGTGAACAGAACAGGGAATCATCAAGTGATCCCACTCCTGTCATCCATTTCCAGCCTCTGACAAACAGACTAAGGACACAATTCCTACCCATTCTGTCTAATAAGTATTGATAGACCTAACCTCCATGAATGTATCTAGTTCTTTTTTTAACCCTGTTAAAGGCCTGGTCTTCATAACATCCTTTGGCAAGGAGTTCCACAGGCTGACTCTGTGCTGCATGAAGAAAAACTTTCTTTTGTTTGTTTTAAACCAGCTACCTATTAATTTCATTTGGTGATCCCTAGTTCTTATGTTATGGGAACAAGTAAATAACTTTTCCTTATTCACTTTCTCCATACTTGTCATGATTTTTATAGTCTTCTATCATATCCCACCTTAATCTCCTCTTTTCTAAACTGAAAAGTCACAATCTTTTAAATCTTTCTTCATATGGCTCCCGTTCCAAATGCCTAATCATTTTTGTTGCCCTTTTTTAACCTTTTCCAATGCCAATATATCTTTTTTGAGATGAAGCAACCACATCTGTATGCAATATTCAAGATGTGGGTGTACCATGGATTTATATAGAGACAATAAGATATTCTGTCTCATTCTCTATACCTTTTTTAATGATTCATAACATTCTATTTGCTTTTTCGACTGCTGTTGCATATTGAGTGGAAGTTTTCAGAGAACTATCCACAATGACTCCAAGCTCTCTCTCTCTCTTGAGCGGTTATAGCTAAGTTAGACCCCATCATTTTGTATGTATAGTTGGGATTATTTTTTTCAATGATGGGATTATTTTTTCCAATACTTAGCATTTATTAACATTAAAATTAATTTGCCATTTTGTTGCCCAATCGCCTAGTCTTGGAGAAATTACAGACCAGCCTATCAACAATTCTACCAGAAAGAAGTAAGAATTTTTATATATACACATGATAAAAAAATTACAGTAGTGAACATTGTTTGAGTTGATCATTGCAAAAACTTTGTGTAATTACTCTGAGCTTTTATATCTACAATCAGAAATAGTTCCTATTTATCTACAAATGTGATCTAAAACACAATATCCAATACTTACTAGATTTATTGTTTTCTATTACAATTCTAAAACATATTTCTGTTTTTCAGATACATTTCATGTCCTTCTCTCTGCTCATTTTACTTATACACAATATGTGATTCAATCAAGTACAGTAAAACTCCAGTGGTCCAGCATTCAATGGTCCGGCACTCCTGATGGTCCCGCACCATCTGGAACCCAGAAATGCTCTGAGCAGCCGGACAATTGGAGCTGCTCTGCCCCCGGCTTCCCCGATTCAGCCGCTGCTGAAACTGACCAGGGGAAGAGCAGCTGGGGTGCTGCTGGGTTGGTCCCGTAGTGCCGCCCCTCGGCGCTGCAGGACCAACCCGGCAGCACCCCACCTCAGCTTCCTGGAATCAGCTGCTGGTCAGTTTCAGCAGCAGCTAACTTGGGGACGCCTAGGGCAGAGCAGCTGGGGTGCTGCCGGGTTGGTCAAGCAGCACAGAAGGGCGCATCCCCCCCCACTCCACCTCAGACCCCTCATAGCCCGGCCTTCCGATGGTCTGGCATATTTGATAATCCGGCACCCCCTGGGTCCTAAAGGTGCCGGATTATCAGAAGTTTACTGTAATAGCTTATCATTCGCAATACAGTAATAATATGTTTATATCCAGGCCTCAGTGGCCTGCCGGCAAAGAATAATCACTAAGTTGGTCATTCCAATCATTTTCAAGTAGTAGTCTAAGACTGAAAGGCGCTCTGACTCCTGCCATTCTATACAACACCATCCTCAGTTCATTCTTCACAAAAGGCAGTAGAGTACTTGAGCTATAACCACATACCATTCAAGCTACCAGGCTGCCAGAACACACATACTTGTATCAAACACAACTAGTTTTTGTCAAGGAATACATAACTGACAGACATGTAGAATGATTTAATACTGGGACCAGTTCCCTCACCACATGGCAGAACTGCAAACAAAACTTGTATCTAGTATAGTTGTAGTTGTGTTGGTCCCAGAACGTTAGAGGTACAAGTTAGGTGAGGTAATATCTTTTATTGGACCAACTTTGCAGGGTGAGAGAGACAAGCTTTAGAGAGGACTGACTTGAAGAAGAGTTCTGCATAAAGCTCAAATACTTGTCTCTTTCACCAACAGAAGTTGGTCCAATAAAAGATATCACCTCACCCACATTCTGTCTCTAATAGTCTGGGACAAACATGTCTACAACACCCCAGCATACATGGTGAGTAAATGTAATATTTTAGGTGTAAGCAAAGAAGGAAACACTTCTGAAGTACTACGGGTTTTTTCAAGAAAAGGAAAAAGTAAATGAAATAAATAATAGATTTCTGCTACATAGGCCAAAATTCAAAGGCATTTCTTAAACTCTGGACTGCTGGAGCAGTAGTGGACAATGATGCCTGATAGAGAAGAGGGGTAGGATCTCCACGGTGGGAGTCAGTAAGGAATGGAGAGCTTCTGGAGGAAGAAGCCAGCTCTTCAAGGAAAATGGAACCTCTCTTAAGTAGTTAAGAAGCAGTGTTGATATCAGTAGCAAAAGAAACCCTTTGTTGTCCCATTTGAAACACAGGAATAGTGCTTATTAAAGGTCCATTTTGAGAATGTGAAGAATGATCTCATATTTGGTAAATATATCCAGCTCGAATATATATTTTCAAAATATATTGGTTAAAACAGGCATAAAACTACACAAGAAAGGTTTTTTTCACTGCTCTTTTGCACAGTATTAACCTTTTTAAACTGACATCTGAAAGGACACGCTTCAGGAGAGAAAACAGCAGACTTCTAACCACATCTGACAGGTAACTTTCAACTTGAATTTGGGTAAGAAATTTTATTTTGTGTACTTATGCCCTTTGAAACAGCCTGTCAAATTTACAAATTCAATCTTTACAGCCAGAAAGTAAATTCAGTTTGATTTCACAGATTTAATATTTATTCCAGTCACTCAGAATTTATTGACTGATGCATAAGTTCCTTAGCCCTCATATTTTTGAAGCACAAAGAAGCTTTTCCCCCAAAATAGTTTGTAAACAATAAAGTTCTTCACAAAAAACTTTAAATTGTAATTACACATATCTGTGTATTACCAGAAATAAGCAAAGACAGTACCTTTTAAAATATTTGAAGTGGAGAATAAAATGTAGAAAGCAATCCAAGAAAACAGGAAAATCTACTTCATATTTTAAAATCTAATGTAGTCACAACAAAGTTCTTATGAAAGTATTTAATAACTTTTATTCTCATGACAAATTTCTTAATAGGATTTCTTCAGAAAGTTTTTTGTCGACAATAAATTGATAATTTCTATAATTTATTGCTACTTTGAAAGACTTAGTAAAGCAACATTAGAATTACTCGTCATTCAGGTTTACCACAATTAATTACAATTATTGCAGACAGTGTCACAACTACACAAAGAGATATAGTCACACAAATAACTAGGGTTAGCAAAAATATTGTCATATCAGATAACAAATATTAAGGTCTATATATTAATGTAAGAGATATTAACCTTTCAATGATATGTACACTGAATGATGAAAAACAAAATATTCTGTTTCTCTCACTCTAAAGATCATGTTTCAACATGAAGTGACTATTCAGATTGCTGAAGGTTAAGCATTCGTTATAAATTTAGGAAAGGTAAAAGGCCAGTGCACGTCATTTTAATCCAATCAGAATCTATTTCATTGTATAACTCTGCATTATCAGGCATCAAATCAACACCCAATTCGAAATGACATGATGCATATGTGAAAAAGCCAGTGTCTCCTGCTAGCGAATATCCTAAATGTGCAGTAAACCACAGGCTAGAAGGAATTAGTTAAAATGTCAAAAGACAGCCTTTTACTTTTACCTGTTCATCCTTAAAAATATACTCTTAGCTATCAGGCATGCTTTACAGACAAATAGTTTCAGCGAGCAGCAGCAGAAGGCCTGTGGCAACCTCTGCCATCTTGCAGCTGTCACAGAGATTAGTCTTTGATCTATCTGGGAGGTCATGGTCACAGTCACATTAGCTGAAGTCTAACAATATTATACCTGTTAACCACTCTTTCTTTTAATGCTTAACTAGACAGACTTTACCCCATTATGGAATGTTAACTGGGAAATTTGCTGAACTTCAACAAAAACTAAATGCCATCAACAAACTTGGCTTACTGTGATTTGGAGAGATTTTGATGCACTTTATATCACAGTTCAAATGCATTTTATAAAGCTTTCCTAAAACAGAAGGCTAGTTATATAGGAAGGTAAAAAGCATTTTACTAGACAAGCT